TTGCTTATGAATCTATCATGTAAGGGACATGCAACGACGTCAGAGGCAAAGGCCGCGGGGAAGTCAAACTCGAAGCCATGGAAGGCTATCTTCGCGCTCCGATTTAGCTGAATGTTCTCCTTTGGCCAATCAGTGAAAACTGATGTAGCTTTTACATGCAATCTTTAGCGGAGCGAGATATGTAAATTCATCTTACCCTGGAAAGGTATCTTTGCGCTCCGATTTATCTGAATTATCTCCTTTGGACAATCGATGTAGAATTGATGTAGCTTTTCAACGCTATTTTTTGCGGAGCAAGATATGTAAGCCCCTGACAGACAGACTGACTGACAGCAGTGAACACCTGGCTCGGCCCCCCGAATGGCGCTTCGCGTCCGGGGCCTCGCCCAAAAATGGAGAAAAAGCAAACAAGGTCCCAAACAAGGACAAGTCGGGTGTCGGCTTCCTCGAAGCCGGAAAAAAGCGGGCCCCCCTGCATCCGTACAGGCCGGTAGCTAGCGCAGCACGTGTGACAATTGATGGGTAGTGTCAAAGCGGTGGGAGACGTGCTTTGTTGCAGCAGTGCTGATGGTGTGAGAGCTAAGCTTGCACCGGCGGAACCGTCAGCACCGCCTGCGGGCTCCACGCGAATCGCATCCATCCCGGGTGCATGCCGCATGGACAGTGTGTCAGACCGCAAGTCGGAATGCCTGTGCGGGCAAATGGTAATGAAAGCTGGGTGAATTTCGGTGCTGTCTGTGATGTTTATCCCCGACGCGCCAGCGGCCTCAGCAATCCGCCCCACAGCCGCGGGCTTCATCGGGGCACACCGCAAGTCTCCGGAGGCCCCGAGCATTGGCTAAAGTAAATGTACATATGCTCAGCTTGCGTATTTCATAGAGAAATGTAAGCAAATTTGTCGGCCTGCTGGTGGCAAGTCGGAATGCCCGTGCGGGCAAATGGTAACACAAGCTGGGTGTTCAAGTTATCATACGCTGTCATCTCGGAAATCAATGATGAGTTACCCGGCACCTTTTTGAGATGAAATTTAGCCCGAGAGGCGTTGATGTGACTATGAGCTCGGTCAATGGAGGCAGCCAAAGTTGTCTGTGCTCATACGATCTTTTTTAGCTACATGCGAGATACCTTGCAATAGAGAATGCTATATAATACCGATAACGCGTTTCAGCCGGGTGAAATATTATGTTTGGTCCGTTACACACTCAAGGCCTGGGAGTTCGAGCTATCATACGCCGTCATCTAAGAATTCAAATATGAGATACGCGGTACCTTTTGAGATTAAGTTTAGCCCGAGAGGCGTTGTGACTTTCGCGTTTCAGCCGGGCGAGATATTATGTTTGGTCCGTTACACACACACACACACAACACACACACACACACAGGACATGGGCAATCCTACAGGTCGGGGGCCCCCTGGGCGCTTCGCGCTGGGGCCCCGCCCAAAAATGCTACCTTCCCTTCATGCATGACGGTGTAGCACGTGACAGGTATCTCAAGGAAAGCACCATGCTAATCGTTTTGGGTTCATCATTTAGTAAGTGTTGTTTTGCTTTTGTTTTGAATGCAGCCCCCATACACCCGCACAGCAAAGTCTCTGACCACTTCTTTGCCAATGACCGTCTATCGAGCCTGTTTACCAGGTCAAGCTTAGGTGCTGCACGGACTTGCCATGCCTCCTCATTATTAAGGCACTTACATGACCATCCCATTGCAGGCGCACTGTCTGTCTGCCTCATGTTGCATTACTTCACAATCAAGTGCCGCGTGCCAGGATCGACATCCTTTTCCCCTCCTCCATCCCACAGGTTCATGTCCAGGGCAAGGTCAACATGCAATCACACTACACTCCAATCCAGGAGGTCCATGCCAGCCTGTGCCACCTGCCCACAAAGTACACAATTGCAATGACTTCTCACACCCTTGCTTGCCAAACAATCTACTCATACAGCATCACTTTGCTGCCCCAGCACGCCTCCCTTCCTGAAAGCAGAACACCCACTGTTGAGCTGCAAACACCTCACAGCCAGCACCCCCAACAGCAGTCCAACACATGCAGGCCCGTTCAGAGATGCCAAGGCATGTATTCAGCCGTACACAAGTGTACACATATTCAGCCGTACAAACCTACTCCGCCCATGCTACCACTCATATCTGTAGCTGTTTCCTTGTACAACTCAGGGCACTTACAGATACATGCCCATCTGTGCCTATATCTACACAACCTGCAACACCAGCAAATGAGCAAATGCCCAGCAATGCCCAGTCCCCAGGTACACACCAGCTGCGAGCCCAACCGTTAACATGAATTTGCATGTCTAGAGGGCCCAATAAGGCATCATGCCATGGTGACCAAGACAAGCAAAGCCACCGACTAGATTTCTAAGCCTCTGACGTTCACAACCTTGTGCCCACATCCACAGCGGCCACCATACCAGCCATCACCAGCGGATGCAGCTGCCACAGCTGCAGGGCGACACCATCACCGCCAACTGGGGGCAGCAGAGGAGATGCTCGAGATATGCGGCTTTGGAAGGATGACCATGCGTGGATTCAACCGTGGCAGATGGCTGCGCCTCGGAATTGAGATGCCCGTTGGGGACCTGCTCAAAGCAGACGGTGCAACATGGCCACCTCTGCCAGCAGTCGGAAAGTTGCTGCTGCTGGAGCTTCCAGGGCTGCTGGATTCGGAACCAGGAGCAAAGCCTACCAGGGGGATCTCGATGGCAAACTGATCGATCTCGATGGAGTCCTTAGCTGCCCCCTCAAACTGTTGCTTCCTGAACTGCTTGAACAGGTCGGGCAGCACTGCAAAGTACATTTCGCGCTTGAGCCCCTTCAGGTCCCTGGACAGTTTCCGCATGGAGGTTTGCAGCCCTGACGCGCTAATACGGTGATTGGCAGAGACAGTCACCTGGATAAGGAGCAGTCGCGCTGCCTTGCCGTTGCTGTCAGGCAAAATCAAAAAGCTGTCCACACCGGCGAAGTTCCTCGCCACCGGCACCAGGAGCCCAGACCCTTTTGTTGTGGGGCTGATTTCTTTGAGGTCGCTGTCCTGCACCTCCATCAACTCCATTTCCGGCACCTCCAGGCTGACCTCCTGCTCTCCGGGGTTAGAAAGGCTGCGCATACGAAACGAGCCGCCCCGGCACAGCAAGTCATGTGCTAGCACCTGGAACATTATGCCTCTAAGTGAGGCCAAATCTGGTCTGCCAGCGGACCACTTAACGAATTTGGCCAACTCAGCAGTACCCTGCCGATGCAACTCCTGCATCACACGCTGGCCGATTTCCTCGGAGCCGAAGACCAGGCGTTTCCTGCTGCAGTTCTCATCCACCTGCATGTCATTGCAACAACCCACAACATGAGAAAGGCTTGTCAGATGGTGTGCAGAACCCATGCCATTGCCACACTCTGTGTGCATCCCTGCTTTTAAAAATGGCACTGATTTCCAGTGATTCTTCCACCGGATTTTCCCCTGTGGGCCTTTAGATATGCACATCCACCCAATATTGCCTGCCCAGTGCAAAGTCACCAGTCACAACACATGGGGCATCTGCTGTAAGAGGGATCAGCTCCCCTGGCATCTCCCAACTGAGTACTCTTTGCCTGGTGTTACATTGGTGCGAATTGCTAGGAGGTGGGAACTCCCCGGATCGAACCTGGTTGCGAGCAGATCGCACACCAGGCATGATGCAGCATACTCTCACCCCAAAGGTGGATGCCCAGGTGGGCAGGAAGTCTACTAGCTGAGTAAAAACAAAGTCCTCAATCTCGGACGGGGACTGACGAAATGTCACAATAACAAACTAATACACAACCCTACGGGATCTCAAACAACCTAAATCCTATGGGATATGCCCAGGGGTGCCCGAGGACGTTTCCTCAAGGGGGGGAGGAATGTAAGAGGGATCAGCTCCCCTGGCATCTCCCAGTTGGGAGTACTCTCTGCCTGGAGCCACATCTGCTAATGGTCAAATAGAGAAGACCTCACACCTACCTCGACGTGGATCAGTTTGTGGCTGACATCCGGTGCAGCTTCAATGTTGCCTACGGATTTCCACAAGAGATCCATATTAACGGTTGCCACCGCTGCATCAAGCTCCTCCTGCAGTTCGGGGTTGGCTGCGTACTTCAGGACGTAACGTGGGATGCCGCCCCACCGAGCATACAGCTCTGACAGTTTAGCTTTGCTGACCGAAGAGAACATGATGCCACGTGCTGCCTCCAGCTCCACATCGGACCAGGGGCCCATCCATAACCTCAGGCCAGCTTGCTTGGCATATTCCTACAGGACACCTCATTAGCATGCAGGCAACCCTAAGGCACTGATTGGGGCAGTAACCCATGGATTACCCATTTTCAACCCCCGGTAGCCCTTTGATAACCCCCTTGTAAGTTCCTACCCAGCAGGAGGGGTAACATGACCCCAGGGTAAACCCCTCCGTTGCCCTGGATTGTGGACATATGTATGGGCCTATAGGCTACTCGTCTTATATGCATCCCACACCATAAATTCCGCTGAAGGATACTTTTTACAATGTAAACGTTAGCAACCTACAGTATTGTGGTATCTTGGGAAGCATTGTTTGCCAGTTCAACCTTAAGGTCTCTAATGCTGGCATCACACACGCAAGGAATAAGCAATAAATACCTATCTCATGGCCTATTTGGCTGCTGTAAAACAGGAGCTTGTAGATGAGTACAGGGGAAGGCGTGAATGCTGGCAGCATATACACAAGTCGACGACAGGTCTTCACTAAATGGATGCCTTTGGTTGTCATCGATTGTTATATAATAGTTTGCATTGTGAAAACAACAGGCAATCAGTCCTGAGGTCGGCCAACATATTAGCACATCCAAGCTTAATCACAGCTAATTTGCTTGTAAGCTCATGTAATGCACACTCATGGCTGGTATTTTAACTAGACGGACATGCTAAAAAACGCGATGACCACTATCACCAATTCAGTCAATCATATTCACTGCCAGCAGTGTTCCTATTGACCATACATACTTTGCACGCT